GTAAATGGACTATCCATAACTACGTAATTTATGATAGTTCGCAGCTGTAGTATGTTCAAGGAATCTCAGAATTCTATAAATTAAGGGTTAGGCCTTATTCAGGTTGCTTATTCTACATAATCCAGACAAGCTTCTTAGACTCAAATTCTGATCGAGCATTATATCCACCACCAAAAGTTGGAATCAGGTCGGACAAAGAGTCAAAACTTTAGCTACACCTCAAAGGATCAAAACACCTGGACAGATAGATGTTTACTTAGCACGCAGATACATAACACTGATCGCAAAAGTAAGAAAAGCGATAGAGGTGTCAAATGAGTTGACGAAAACTTACAAAAGCTTTATGAACACCTCCTCTACCAACAATATCAAAAAGAAGTTCGCGAATTAGAGGTGGGCTATTTTTTGTGAATCGCACTCCAATCACAAATGCATGAGCTAATTGCGACAGTATAACAATACATCTGTAATTCAACTCTTTGCGGCAATTTTCATACAACGTACAAAACTTACTTAGTGTATTCCTTCCAAAAGCAATAAAGATCACTCCCTTTTAACTGCTCGTCGACCAATATTTTCTCCGCATTAGTGACCAAATCTACTATCGTATCCACTAGTTCGTGCTCACGTTTCTCGAAATTCCGTATTTTCACTTAAACAACAATTTTTCTTCGACTATAGAACTTACTGGCATGCGTCTCTGTGATGACAATCTGTGCACTTCCTTGCAATCTTTCAGCTCCTTCTGAATGATATTCCGACATGTGTTCATCACTTTCCTTCTTGAATTTTCGGACATAGTCAATGCAGACACGAAACGCTGCTGCAAGATGTAAGAACATTGCTGATTTTGATAATTAATGTTGTTCTCTTTTACCTGATATTTTTCCAAGATTTGTTTCTTGATTTGCCTCGAGTACCGTTGAATACCTGACAAAGGTACTTCACAGCCGGGAAAGGGGCAAAGCAGTGTGCTACTTTGCTCTTGGCTTGATGAAACGTGCTTGTCGAGGAACTTTAACGTGATAATTCATTGAGTAAACATAGAAAAAGTTCTTAATTAATTTGGAAAGTGAAGCAAGAGGCTAGATTTGTTCAAGAATTGCTATAAATAAACGTTAGTAATAATCTAAAGGGTAAAGAGAAAATGTGGAAAACTCACCTCTACTGGGAAAATATGTTTGCATCCATTGATCACGATGATCCTTGGCAGTTTGCTGAGAGTTTTACATGCTCCGAGATATTCTTTGATCAGTGATACATAGCTCTGTCTGTTACAAGTACCGCAGAGACCTAAATAGAAGATATCCTGTAAATGCTGGAACAACAAATTTGAATGATGAAGGACACAAACGGCAAAATCTAACAAAACTCCCTACTTGGACATGTCTCGCTACACATGCCAAGGCATGCGTGACCGCACATCAGTCGCATTGTACATGGTTGCTCACATGGTTTTACATCACATACCTCATAACACCTAACACAGGATAACATAATGACTATGTTGATATAAAACCACAGAAAGCACACCTTTTACCGCAGCTACGATGTTGACAGCTATTGTCACACAGTCTGGGACAAAGTACACAAGGTTGTGAACAATTCCGACCGAAGGCAATTTCCTGGAGATCAGGAATACATGGGAAGACATTGGAATGTGGATACAAAGAAAGAACAA